TATATATATATACTTTGCTGGTTTTTGTGTTTCTCTAGAGAACCCAATCCAACACAACAGGGCACTGCCCTTTGTGAGTTACAAAGAGTTACTGTATTTTCCCTGTTTTGTCAGCCATTAACCTTGCCTCGGGGATTCATGCCGACGGGAACAGAAACGTTTCTGATGCCACATCTAGTCCTGCGCAGAAGTCAGGTGACCCAGGCCTGACTCTGTGGGACAGAAAAGCCGAGTGCCAGGGTGACCCTGGAGGGCCCTGACAGGCAGACTTAGGGAAGCACCTCTCTTGCCAGGACCAAGGCCTGGTGGCTGTGCAGGGGCCATCGTCCCCTTAGGAGATGCAAGCCCCTCCAGGGTGCAGGGTAGTGACACCCACAACCCTGAAGTTCCCGCACACACTCATGTGCACTCACCCACACACACTCACAGACTCACACTCACCTCCACATCAACACACATGCACGCACACTCACACTCGTAACAAGGCACACACACTCAGACACACCAACACACACGTTCACACACACACTGATAACCCATGCTCACACACGTGCATGCAAACTCACACTCATTCTTGGGCACACACACATCACTCACACACATCTAACACATTCACACTCATAACACAAGGCACACACTCGCATTCACAGACACACAAACACACGTTCACTCACACACACACCGATAACTCACGTTCACACACGTGCCCACTCACTCCCACGAATGTGGCCAAACGTGACCAGTGGTTGACTCTGAGGAGCAAGGGCTACTGGAACCCCCTGCTTCCCATTCGTCTGTATATCTCCGTAACCGTTTCTCAACACCGCCGGCATCTAGGTGCAGCCTCCACGCCTTCGTGGAAAGCAGGGATGGCGTCTTACCACGTTCACCACGTTTTACGCCCCGTTCCGGCCCCACCGGCCCCTCACTGATCCCAATGCTGGCCTGGGGCATTTGGTGCTTTGTTCCGCCCCCGAGTGGACCTCCTTTTTAACTTCAACGGTCCCTGCAGGACAACCCTGGTCTGTGCTGGCGGCTCAGGGGCAGCAGCTTCCAAGGACGGCGAAGGGCCCTGTGGGCGGACTCACCTTCCCGGCAGGTAGAGCACTTGATGCAGGCCTCCAGGCCATTGGGGTGCGCAGTGAACGTTCCCGGGGCACACTGCACACACATCCCTTTGCTGTGGGGGATCCTACAAAGTTTCTTGACATGTTCACCTGTGCAGAAGGAGGGATGCCGGGTGAGACACCAGAGCAGTCCCTCAAATTGGGGCTGGAGAGAAATGTTCTGGACCTCAGGAGCCAAATGGTCACATGGGACCTGGGCTGGCACAGGGCGGCTGACTCTTGGGACCCGGAGCAGTGTTCGTGTGGGTGACATTCCCCAGATGGACAGCCTGTCCAGAGCCTGATCGTGTTGTAGGCTGGCATTGTTCCCCGACTGGGCAGACAAAGAGGTTGCTGGGGGGTGTGGCAGAGACATGCCCGGGTGACTCAGCTGGTGAAAGCTGCCCTGAGGGACAGGCCTGCTGCCTGGGGTTCCCATCGTTGTAGCAGGGAGGAACACGGTCAGGGGACTGGCTCTCAGGGCAGGGCTGTGCTGGGCAACGGTGTCTGACAGCTGGTCTCCACCGGAGTCCTTCATGCCCTCTCGAAGCGGGAGACCGAGGCCCAGGGAACCCCAGTGCTGTTTGTGCTGGACCAGGTACTTCACAGCTTCAACTCATTCACCCCTCAAACCACCCTGGGAAGCAGGATGCACTACCCGTGGCCTGTACGGCCGAGAAAACTGAGGCAGGACAACCTGAGGGCCACAGAGCGTGTGCGGTGAGTCCAGGCCGTGTGCACCCGCGGCCTGTGTCCTCAAGTACTGAGACTGTACAGTGCAGGGTTAACTGCCCACATGGGGCGCAAAGCCTGCACTGGCAGAGAGGACTGACCCTAGCTGGCCACCCCCTCACCCGCAGTCCCAGTCCGGCCCCGACAGCCTCCACTCACCAGCAGGGCAAGCCTCGCAGCAGCGGCCATCAGCCCAGTACTCGCGGGGCGCGCAGGACGCCGGGTCCGGGAGTGCAGGGCTCTGGGGGACCTGCACGGCCAGCTCCACCTTCGGGAAGACGACAGGGTTTCACCGACGGCCACGCTGCCTGCCTCCGGACACCGCCGGCCCCGTCCCCATCTGATCGCAAACCTCTCTCCCTTCACCCTCGCAGCCCCAGGTGGCGGGGCGCGCACGGCTGCTTTACCGGCAGGTTCCGGGAATCCCGCGGGAGAGGTGCGCGCACGCCGCCCCCGCGCTCCCAGCGGTTCTGCCCAGTCCGCTCCCAGGTTGGCCCGGCAGCCGCTTGGCCCAGCTCAAACGCTCCCAAGAGGCCAGGCGGCCCCAGGCTGCCCGCGGGCCCAGCCGGGGGCTGAAGGCAATGGCAGGTGGGGGGCGCACACGCAGAGGACGGAGGGGCTGGGCCCGCCTCCGGGAGCGGGAAAAGGAGGCAGGGAGGCTGGGGGCAGGGCGAGGCTCCCCGCCAGGGCGGGGG